TATACGTTGAAACCTTTTACCTTTTTATCAATTGTTCTTGCTATAAATATGTTTTAACTGTAACAATGCATCGATTAATATGGTCAATCAATTTACTGGGCATTGTATAAATTTTAAAAAAACATAGTATTTATTTATTTTTCGTTAACTGACCTTCTCTTTATAGATGAATAGAGAATACCTAATGCTCACGATTAGTTTCGCAAACACGATAAATACAAAAATGAAACAAATGTGCCATGGTCACTATTGGTACCCAAGAAAAACAATACACAGTGAAAGCATATGAAGACGAATAAAGGGGAACTAATATTTTTAAGAACTCTATTTTATTTTATAACTGTTTAGTATCGGGTGGTATATAGAATATAGGTTCAAATAGCGTGGTCGGTCGTGATATTTTTTGCATCATCCTCCCGACCACATTGTAACCGGCTGTATTATACGATGTTTTTAGGTTCATTGAACACTATCAACAGTCAATCGAGACTATAATTATAGTCAAATTTAAAAAATTTTCAGATTTTGTGCTAGAAGAAATGTCTACTGGTTTTAAAAACATAAATATATTTTAATACAATACTACAATGGTTATTTTTTTAAACACCCTTGAATCAATAACTCAGATTTCCCAAACAATATTTATTATTATTATTTATTCTAACACTCTTCATTTTAATGTATTGATAAAAATCGATTTGAAGCATTCATGAAATATGAAAACAATTATTGAAACATTCATTATTAAACTTAATAACATAAACAATAAAGGGTAACTACACAATTTATCGATTACAAAACTATAAAAAAAAATCATACTCGAATTGTTACCTAAAATAAAATATCAAAACGTTATTTTCATGTCCAGTAAATTTGTATATTGTATAAATAATAGTAGGTTAGAGTATATTTTAGATTCTGAACGGAGCGAGTGCGAGGATTCGTGGTATGGTTTTTACAATGATGCGTGTTTTTTTATGTTGGTCTATATTTAAGTTTTAAAGTAGAAAATGTTTGCTTCTATCTTAAAATTAATCTCGTTGATGAACTCTTCAGTTAAAATATTATAACGAAAAATGCATCACAATTTTATGAAAAATAAGTTGTATCCAGTCCAATAAAACATATCTATATTCAAAAGGAAATTTTTTACCATATAGTGACTTGAGATTTTCACCAAATGTTTATATTAGCATTTTCTAGACATGATAATTTTTAAAAATAACCAGTATTACAATAATTTTATATATTAGTTATTTTGTTGTATTTCAAAAAAAAAAAAGTAAATCACATCCCATGTTTTTCTTTTATAAAAAAGAAGTTAAATCTACCGAAATAAGAAAATACTTATAGAACTTGCAATTAAAATATAATACAACATAGAATACCTATCCTGACAGAAATAGATGCTGATCCACCCGTTTAATTCGATTAGAAACATTTTTTTCGTATAAAACGATTGAAAAAACGAATGTAACATATCCATTACCATAAACTGACTTACTCAATAACTATAGGTACACTCAAAATCTAATATATAGTAACTCTCCCGGTTTTGTTTTTATTGAATCAATATATTTAACAATAAATCAAAAGATTAGTTAATTTAACCTAGCCTAGGTATGTAAAAATAATAAAATGTCTTAGGTAATTTATTCGTTGAGTATAATTATAATATTAAATTTATGTAAATCGTTATTCGGTTATTGTACATATTATATAGAATTATTTATTATACATCGTAATCAAAGAAGTTAAAAATAGTGGGTGAGGTAAGATGCCTACATAAAAAGAAGATCGATGTCAAAATAAATAAATTAGTCATGTTACGTATAAAAAAAAGCCAGTCAGGATATACAGAGATCGGGGTTTCAATAATATCGTTTTGCTTATATCATCAATGCACAGCTGTGAATTAAAAATTATAATTGGTAGATATATTACTCAAGATACTCGTATATTTGAAAGCAATGATAAATCATCACATTCAAAAAACAACTCTGAGATAAGCTCGTTTTATTAGTGTATACATACTAGTATTATACTGTGTAAGACTAAGTAGTTAAAATTGTAATTTATTCATAAATTATATTTACATGAAAGGATCTTAAATTGCAATGAATATAAGAATTAAATTATAAGTAACTATTGGATTAAATCCTGAAATCTTATTGCCCAAAATTACAAATAAATTTAGAACCAAAGACCATAACTACATGGAAAATTTACTCTTTAAACTATTGAATGTCAAAGTGATGGGTTCCTAAAACTACTATCATAGCCATTTGATTAATTAGAAATTGAAAACGCACTGTAGATAGATACTTATAAATTTTACAAATTTCATAGAAAACCTAAAAAAAGCAGATAACAGTTAAGCAAGTGACTGTTTTAAATCAAATAGGTATAGACTAAGACAATCAGAGTTTTATTGTTTTTTAAACTTAATAATTTATTATCTGTGTCTTCATTATTTTAAAATAAGAAAACGTTAAATTTCACAGGTGGTTTTTAAAATAATATGATGTAGGTAACAAAATATAAATAAAATGCATGTTTTAATAGTTCAAAATACATGATAATATAAAATAAATTGATAAATAAATATAAACCAATATTTTTCAAGTCCTGCAATAAATTAAATTATTATAAGTGAATAACTCTACCTCAACAAATTAATTATTAAGCCCAAAAATGAAATGAAAAGTTTAATAAAGAATAATAACCATAATTATTTTTGAATACCTGTGTATTTATTTTGCCTAATTTAACAAAAAAAGAAACGGAAATAACAAATTAATAATTTCCGTTCCAAGCTATAGTCTTACAAATTAATGACCATACTAAGAAAACTTATGGACATATAGTTGACAATTGAGATACATTTTAAAATTAATTATAATTTCATAGTTTCTTTAACATGTGAAGTTTAAAATTATATAATAATAATGTATAAATAATGTCTATAAAAATATAAAAACTGAATAATTAAAATTTTTAATTATAAAACAAATAAGATAGCTTAGTTAGTCATTTGTATGGCCAATCGGCAATCACTACTATTTTTAGATTCTAACTGGAGCAATGATTGCATTAATTTGACAATGTGATGTACTATTTGTATTGATAATAGAAAAATGCTTATCTTTTATGTTATATTTTAAAAATATTAAGACACTTATTTATTGACATTTTTTCTGTAAATGCCGATAATAATGTTTCGTAAGGTCAAAAAAACTTTGAAATGTAATAAAAGGTTCCTCATAAGTTTTTATTATTGGTATTAAAATATATTAAATATATCTACATAGGTAGGTACAATTTTTTCCATAAGCATTTAAAGTTAATCATTTATAAAATATTCAATTTTCATAGTTTAGGCTTACAAAATGGGATACAAGATTCCTCATATAAGTTGAGTCATAGACTCATTAGATAACATAGGTACGAACACCATCTTGTTAAGTATCAGTATAGCAATATATAAGTAATATAAAGCAAAACACAATATGAACAATGTGCATTGAATATAATTTCAGGCCTTGGGGGTAATTTTGATGAAAATTATATAAACTCTAGTGGCCAACACATTTAAAAATTCTATAATTACATTGAACTAAATATAGCTTATATAGGTACCTACATGAAAAAATGAGCTGTGTTAATTATAACAGATGAAAAAAAAATAAATAAGAAAATCATTAACAAACATTTATACTTAATTTCAATGGCATATGACTTGGTAAAACTATCGGGTAACGATGTATTAATGATTATTTGAACATATTTAATATTTCCTAATGAAAAAGTGTACAGAAACAAATGTGACTTGGTAAATAAATGTACGACGAATAAGTATAATTCTTATTTTAAATAAATCTTTTATGTTTAACCTAGTACAATTATTTATGTTAATTAGATTATGTTTATTGTAAGTTATATTGTAGTAAATAAAGTAATTCAAAACTCTTGGTGAGAAAGTTTTTAAAAATATGGTTACGTCAATTTACATTCGCATTTTATACAGCTGTTAAAATAAAAAAGAATACACAAATGTATTCTCTATTTAGAAATAATCTAACACGGATCATAACTTTATTTAAAATAACATAAATATTCTTTTATGTTCGATTTAAAATAACTCGTGGTATGCTGGAAAATAGAATTACTACTTTTAGGGACAAATGTATGGATTAAAATGAATAGGTAGTAAGTTATACTTAAATTTAATTATACAACCATCAACAAAAATCCAAGAAACTTCATTTGTGCATATTGCATTTTACATATTAGTATCTATACCTATTAAGAATTTACAAGTTTAACTAGGTAACAGGTATAAAGTAGGTACAACTGTATTTAACTTTAATAATAGGGCAGATCAAACAATTATTTACGAATGGTATTATTATTATTTTTTCATAAAATATATCTTCCAGAAAAAATAACGAAATGTTAAAATATATAATAATATGATTAAATATGATTAATAGCACCTATATATTTACAAACGGATTGGTCTAAAGACGACAACTAATATAATATTCTGCTTTTATCTATACAATTACAGACGATAATTCTATACGTAGGATATTTGAATAAATGTTAAATTAGGATATTATCTTCTAAGACAAAATGTAAAGATATAAATATCTATTAGAGACCTGCGAATACGATGATGATGGATCATAGCTTATGCGGCTGTTTGCAATATATCGTCAATTATATATCCAAACATCACGACTCGTCGGTAAATGGAAAATAGCAACTGTGAGTGCTCATGGCGTATTTCATTGAGAAATGATTACGTCAAGACTCAAGATTGCAACAATATGTACATAAAAGAATATTATAATAATAAAAAAAAAACAACTCATTTTCTGTCGTGTACAAAAAAAAGCATTCATTGTAATTTAACGTAATTGTATATAAGTATGTGAATTGATGATCATTAATTACAATAAATGTATAGTATCATAATAATAAACACAATAATATACCTGTACACGCTCTCGTCGTAATAGAGAAGAATTCGCAGCGGCTGATTCACACTTCTTTTTCTCATTATGTGCGGTGATTCAATGTGCACTCCGTGTATTACCTGCAATAACAATAAAAAAAATGGATATAAATATTTGTATTAACACAACTATAAGCATCATTTATCATGATTAAAAAGCAATTCATGTAACTAACTATATTATGGTCTTATTCCGTGAAGATAATCACTTAAATGATGTATCGTAAAACTACTTTATGTATGAAACAATTCAATTAATTAATATAGCTATCGAAAAACGATTCTGATCAGAGACGGTTGATGTGACAGACTATATTCCTAACCCTAAGGGGTAAGTGTATTAAATACTTAGATTACTATTATAGTAATTTATTTTCTATTAGTAACATGGTAGCTTGAACTATTTTTTTCCGAAAAATAATTACAATAATTAATATAATACTATTATAATAATATTTTAAAATTTCATAGAGTACAGTAAATAATCATACACGTAGTGGGGAAAAAATTCAAGTCCCTACAAATAATGTTTTTTGAATTATAACAAACTAACTATATAATCGTGATTTTTTATTTTAATATCCTATTTCAAAGATATTTAAACATCAAACGTTTATAGAAAAAAATTGTGCAAATGTATTTTTGACAAATAGAGATACACGCTCTTACAGAAAGTAAGAAAAATACATTAATAACATTAATTACATTTTCAAGCATTAGCTTTTAAAATGGAAAATTTAATACGTTCTTAACAATAAAATAATTTGAAATTTTTTATCATTTTAACGGATTTTCTCAAAACTTGAACCTTGAGAGCTTATAAAAAAATTGAATTGCTATGTTTTTAATATTTTTAAATTTCTATTGAAATAACTTATGTTGAACCTTGTCATACATTTTTAAGGATTTTGACTGAGCAAAAGATATATAATTTTTCCTGATTTCTCTAAAATATTCTAGGAAATTATTCCTTTCCCCCTCAAAAGTACCAACTAGATCCAATTTTCTAGTAGAATCCGTCCTCAAACTAGAAAATCTTAGCATTTATACTATCAAAAGAATATCCATTCACAGACATAAACATTTTATTTTTTATTTAACACACATTTTCGTAAAACCAATTCGTTTAGAATTTAAAGTTTAAGGAAATGATTTTATTTTAAAATGTGTTTAATATTGTAGAAGGATAATAATACGATTACATATTTATTATATTCGTATGGACATCGTATAGAATACCTAAAGTATTATAATAATAAGTATACATATATTTATACACTGTCTATATCAATAGATGTTGGTTAAATAATCATTTCCATTATTTTTTAATGTATTATGAAAACAAACGTATATATTTCCTCAGAACCGTTTTCATATATTATTGATTTGCAGGAAGTTCAATAAATACACACTTACCTAATTCGGAGATAAATTTAAGGGACCTAAAATTATACAATAGAATAAACAAAAAAGAAATCCATAATGTTACATAACGTTCAGTAGCTAAGCAAAATAAAAAAATATGTTATCTTATATACGTAGATTTCTTTTACCTTATTTATTTATTTCCTATAGCTTAAGCGGAATTGCAGTCAAGGTAGATTGATCACAGGATAATGAAAAAAAAACCTAGGGAAGTCGCTCTGTTATACAGTTGTAGGTGTCGAGTGTAACTCGTCATTGAGTAGGTATCTTGAATAATAGTCGTGTTAAATTTGAATTCAATGATAAACCATAATAACATATTATACCTACGAGGCTATACGAACAACGATTCTGTTCGAAGACGTTGTGTCGGCCTTTATTTTAAATAGGTAAAAATGTATGTGGATATTTTCACATTTTCAATGTATAATAAGAAAATAAATATAAGTATATGCAAATGCAAATAGCTTAATTATTAAATTACAACAAAATAATTTAAATTGTAAGAGGAATACCCAAATTTTTAAATTTCTATAAGACGACCAAATTATGTGGAATCTTATATTAAATTTGAAATCATTTAATATTAAAATAATTCACTAAAAAAGAATCACAATTTGAATTTACGTGCTTATAAATAAAATTGGTGAATTTATCAAAAGCTAATGTTGCATAAAAATTCCCATTTTTTTAGTTTTTCAAGATTATTTAGAAAAGTATTGAACATAAAATACTTTTCTAAAGTTAAGTAGGAAACCTGAAGCATTTTTACAACTCCAAAAGTTGATGACAGACAAAAAAAATATTTAAACCATATTTACATTTATCGCTCCGCTCAAAACATAAATGATATTGGTATTTTTGTAGTTTAATCGAATCCAACGTTATCATACATGGGAAATGTTTTTCCTAACTTATAATATTTATAAATATCCACGTGTAACCTACATTTGCAGAACTTAGAACGGGTATGAAGCAATAAAGAGCCTCGTTATACTGCAGACTATCCACCATATATAATATCCACCATAATATGACCATTAGGTATAACAGGAAGTTGATGTTACGACATTTTTAACTATAATAATAGAGCTATGTAATTTAATAAATATTATTATGTGAATAGGATTTTAACAAAACATTGTTATTTTTCTATACCTGTATAGTTATATTATTATGTATAAACAGCATTCTGCACGTGGTGCGACTACGTTATACCTACAGGTACATATAGTGCATTATGTATTTAAATTACATATTATTTTAACCTACTCTCAATAAATTGAACAATATAATTTCAATTTATGGAAAAAACACAACTTTGTTCGTAAGAATTCGTTTTTGAACATGTTATTATTGAGTGTAATTTAGTAATTTACTCTTCTTTAAATACTTGAACTTATTTTTAAAGATGAATTTAGTTCGACAATAATACCTATATCGAAATATAAACTAAATTATAAACGTAATTAATATGTTTTGAATACTCGCATACATATTATATATCCCAAACAATCTTATATTTTCATATGAATGGGCAAATAATAGTAATAAGCACGCCCGATTACCTAATACTTGCGTACCTACCGCAACACACCAACCGGCTTATTGTACCGTATTGACTACATTCAAATATTCAATATTCATAATAAAATGGAATAATTATTACAATTTATTATATAAAATAATAATGCAATACAATTAGTTGTACCTACCTAGTTCCTATCTTAAAATTACAAATGCGTAACAGGTAAATTTCGTTCAGCAGTTCATGTTTTCATTAGTTTCAATATTAGAATGAATTGAGATATATTACCAAACTTTAAGTCAACCTCATTGTCAGTGTTTTAAGGGTATTTTTTGATATTTTAATTTTAAAGCAAGTTATAAGTGTGTAAAATATTAAAACTTCAAAATACAAGTAAGTAAAAAACCACGGTATTCAGTAAGCGTTGAGTACCACGTTTTATTAAACAAAAAAAATGTATATTATATACAGGTAAATAATAATATAATAACAATAAAAATAATAAAATATTAATAATCAATGACCAATGCGCATTAGCCTATAATGCGAATTAAAAAGGTGTTTTATTACACCAGACTATACCGTATTAACTGAATCTAATGCGCATTAACGATTGCACATTACGTGTAACGTAAAACCCTTTTAATATATTTGATTACTTATATTGATTTTAATAAACTTAATTTAACTTCGACTATTACAGCATAATTATTAGTTGATAAAGTATTTAATTAAACTAGTCTACCCGAGTAATATAAATATAATGTTCATATTAGTAACGCTTTGAAGTAATCCGTGAAATTATATATTAATATAAATTGTCATGGTTTTACCTAGCGTATTGTTTATATTATTTTTTAGAAATCAAAAATGTAATGCTATTAAAAAATATCTACATTATTTTATAATTTCATAGCTATTAGTTAATATTGTGGTCAATAATACAAATCCGAGTATAATCGTATTTCGTGCGTTGCACTTGACCCCCCACAAAAACCATCCGTGGCATGATGAAAAATCACTCTAGTAATAAGGTTTACTTTCATCTTAATATACTTAAAGCTATTATATCTGCTATTAAAAATGTTACAGTTTAAATAATTAATTGTAAAAGAACTGAATAATGAACAAGCAACTGCTGAAAAACCAGCTTAGTTGAACTTACTGATAATTATTTTAAAACAATTAAACATCTTTAAAATAAAATAGGTACTTATTAGGTAATACAATGTATTATATAGGTAGAAAATATCTTGTTGGAATTTGAATAAAAAAAATATGTAGATTTCAAAATAGATTATAAATGAATATAATAATAGGTAGGAAATAGATAATTTAGCTATACAAACAGTATAACACTCAATATACGTAACTTTTCGTTCTTTTTCAAGTTTAGAAAACATGAAATCGATTAAACCTGTACATAGACGGATAATTAATGTGCATTTGTAAATGTTTTATGAAAATCGTAATTACTACATGAATTCGGAATCATATTGTACATGTGATAGAAATTAATTGACGGGGTTTGGAAATACACGGTAGTTGAAACTTTATTTATATAGTTACATTATTGACTTCCTATAAGTAACGCCTCGCTGAGCCGTGTCGAACGTACAGATATTTATGTATTACGCGTGTGTTTTTATAATGATAATTTGTTTTTATATAATATTATTTTCAATTATTTTAAAATTAAGTCGTCAATTGTTACATATCCGTCATTATATTTTGATTATTTTTTTTTTACTAACAAAAAAAATTACCCTCGGCGACATAGGCCATAGGGATACAGTTATTATTTACATTTTCATTTTTATTAAGGACTTATTTCTAGAGCATATTGTTATTATTTATTAGCAACGAAGTAAAATGTGTGAATTATATATACATATATATAATATATAATATTACGTCAAGACAAAAACAACGATGCAATTTTATTTTTAATAAAACAACAGTCGTCATCTGTGACGAGAAATTAATTGGAATAGTTGGAGCGAATAAAAAATTATTTTGTCTATCCAGAAGAAACATTTTTATGAAAACTGCAAAATAAAATTCTTGAAAAATGGAACCACGCCATTCATCAAAAAATAGTCAAATACTCCCGTCAAAACGCAAACTG